ACACACACAACACACACACACAATATATATATATATATATATATATATATATATATATATATATATATATATATACACTAATATATATATATATATATATATATATGTATATATATAATATATATATATAATATATATATATATATATATTATATATATATGTATATATATATATATATATATATATATATATATATATATATATATATATAATATATATATATATATATATATATATATACACATATATATATACATACATATACATACGTACATACATATGTGTGTGCGTGCGTGTATACATGAGGACACACACAAACACATACATGCGTCTGAGGAGAAAGTGATAGATCAGAGCTCAGACCTAATCCAAGGACAGTAGTAATTGTTTCTGTCATTCGGTGCGTAACAGCTGACCCGCGGTGAAAAAAAGAATAATAGAACCCCCTCCCCCCCCTTAAAAAAAAAAGACCAGGGGGGGGATTCATCTTTTTTTTACGACTTTGGTGGTGTGTAAAGCTGTGGATGAAGGGGGTTGGGGGTTGAGGGGAGGGGTAGGGGAGGAGAGGGGAGAGGAGGGAAGGAGAGGAGGGAGGGAGGGAGGAGTGGGGAGGGGAAGGGGAGGGGAGAGGAGGGGGTAGGGCAGAGGAGGGGGAGAGTAAGTAAGGGAGAGTAGGAGAGTAGGGGAGGGGAGGAGAGGGTATGCGGAATGGGGTGGAGGGATAGGGGGTAAGAGGTGGGGAGGGCAAGATCTCCCCCGTGGGAATTTCGAGGAAGAGACGAACATGTGGAACTGGAAAGTGAAGAGAAAGGGAGAAGAGAGAGAGAAGGAGAAACGAAAGGGAAGGAGAATAGTTTATTAGAGTTGGAGACAGAGAAGTTGATAATAAATATAAAGAATAAAGCAATAACATCAGAATAATGATGATGATATTAGAAACAACAAAAAACGAAAACGATAACGAAAATGATAATAATGATAATAATGATAACAACTATACTAATATAATGATAATGATAATGATAATGATAATGATAATGATAACGATAATGACAATGATAATGATCATGATGATAATAATCACAATAATGATAATTGTAATGATCATGATACTAATGATAATGATATTAATAACAATAATAATAATTATGATAGAAATATTGATAACAATAACAGTAGTGATAATAACAACAATAGCAAAAATGGTAATAATGATAATGGCAATGATAATAATAATGATAATAATAATAACTGTAGTAATAATGATAAGAATGATAAAAATAATAAAAGTAGCAATGATTATGATAATAATAATGATAATAATGATAAGGATAACAATGACAATAGCAATAATAATAACAACAACAATAATGATAATAAAAATGATAATGATGATTATAATAATGATAGTAACAAATAATGATTATGATAATAATAATAATAATAATAATAATAATAGTAGAAATAATAATAATAATAACAATAATGATAATAACAGTCATAATGATAATAATAATAATATAATGATAATAATAATGATAATAATAATAACAATTAAAATAATAATAGTAACAAAAACAACAATGATAATGATAATAAAAATGATAATAATAATTAAGATAATAAAAATAATTAAAATAATTATGATAAAAATTACGATAATAACAATAACCATGATGATGATAATAGTAACATAGACATCAATAAGAATGACGAGAATTACAGTTATCATCATAATAATAATGAGAATAAAGATAATGATAATGATAGCGATAATGTAATAATAAAAAGATTAATAGTAATAATAGTAATAATAACCATGATAATAATAGTAATGATAATAAAAGTAATAACGATAAGAATGATAATAACAATAGTAGTAATGATGATAATAATAATAATGAAAACATGATAAAAATGATGATAACAATAATGAAAATGATAATGATAATAATAATAATGATGATAATAGCAATCATGATAATGGTAATGATGATCATAATAATAACAATAATAATTATGATAATAATGATAATGATGATAATGATAATAATAATGATGATAATGATAATATGTAATAATAAGGATAATAATGATAATAACAATGATTAAGAAAAAAATATAGCAAAAAAAAAAAAAAAATAGTAATGACAATATTAAGAATAATGATAATGATTATAAAGTGATAATGAAAATAATCATAGTAATAATAAGGATAATAATAAAAGTGATACTAATGATGATAATGATAACAACAATAATAAAAATAGTGAAGTGATAATAATAATAGTAACAATAATAATAGTGATAATGATAATGATAACAGTAATAACAAGATAAAAACAATAACAACAATAACATTGATAACGATAATAATGATGATAGTAATACTTATAATGATAGTAATAATAATGATAATAATCGCAGTGATGATATTGATAATGATGATAATGGTGTTAACAGCAAATAATTATAATAACAGAAATACTAACAGTTATAATGATAATGATAATACTAATGATAAAAATTATAACAATGATAATGAGAATCATAATAATGATGATAATATTAATGATAATAATAATGATAAAAATGATAATGATAATCACAGTGACGAAAATAATAACAATAATAATGATGATGATAATAGTGATGAAGATAATGATAATACAAATAGCAATAATGATAGTAATGATAATAATTATGATAATAATACTAAAAACAATGGTATTCATAATACGGATAATAATGATAATAAAAAAGGTGATAAGGAAGATGATGATAATAATGATGATGATAGTGAAATGATGATAATGATTAGGATAATGATAATAACAATGGTAATTATGGTAACATGATAATAATAATAATAATGGTAATAATGATAATAATGATGATGATAACAATATCAATATTTGAAATAATTATAGTAATGATGATGTTAATAATGATAGTAATGGTAATGACGATAGTAATGATTGTGATAATGGTTATTATAATGATTGATAATGATAATGATATTGATAATGATAATGATAATAATATTGAAGATAATAATGATAATGATTATTATCATTATTATCATTATTATTATTATTACTATTACTATTATTATTATTATTGTTATTATGATTATTATTATTATTGTCATTATTACTATCATCCTTATCATTATCATTAAGATTGTTACTATTATTATCATTATCATTGTTATCATAATAATGATCAGGATTATGATAATGATAAAAGTATGAACGAAATGAATGAATGAATTCTTACTATCAACACACACACATCCCCCACCCACACAAACACACACACACACACCCCTACTAAAAAACACCCCCCCCACACACACACACACAAAACACCACCCACAAGCACACCAACCTACCCCTCCAAACGCCACCCAAGCCTCCCATCGCTCACCAGCTGGTAAAAAGCGTCAAAAATCGGTCTTTTTTTTACGGACAAACTCAGCGCGATTGACACCTGCCTGTGGTCAGCGGGCGGGCAGACGTTCCCAGGGCCGGCGTATCATTTGCATTACGTTCGCCGCTGTTCATGCCTCGGCTTCTCCTACCTGCCTTTTTTGTACGCTTTATAAAAATAATTAGAGGCTTGTTAAGCGTGTACGGTAGGCTAAAGTGGGAGGGAGGGAGGTTGGAGGGAGGGAGGGAGGAGGAGGGAGGGGAGGAGGGAGGAGAAAAAAGAGGGGGAGGGAGGAGGGGGGGGGGAGGGAGGGAGGGAGGGAGGGAGGGTTGGAGGGAGGGAGGGAGGGAGGGAGGGAGGGGTTGGGGCTTAGAGGGAGGGGAGTTGGAGGGAGGGAGGAGGGTTGGGCTTAGAGGGAGGGGGAAAAAAGGGGGGGAGGGTATGTAATGTTGATTGTTTGTTTGGATGCCTATTTCGGCTTGCTTGGTATTTTTGCGATTTGTTTCCTTATTATTCGTGTTTAAAGGAAAATTCCTATAGTGTTTTTTCTGTTGTACATGTAATTAAAGACATGCTAACTATGCGTACATCTAGATGTGCATGCTTTGAGAAGCTTGTGTGAGTAGTAGAGAGCAAACACTTTGGCAAGGTTTAAGCAAAAAAAAACTTTCTTCTTTCTTATTATGTGCCTCCTCTTGGATAAGAAAATCTATTTAAATTGTTGGAAGCGACAATCATGAGAGAGAGAGGAGGAGTAGGTTTTATGAACTGTCTACATACCAGTAGTAACTGATTCGTCCATGTAGAATCATAATACAAGGTGTAAATTAATCATCTGCAGCTGTAGTCGCTGACAGAAATTGTAAAAGCATGATTACATAAATGAGTACAGTTGAATTATCTTAAAGATGTTATGTTGTTCTCTCAGTTTGTTTTGTTTTGTTTTAATATTTCTATTTTCATATATTTTCTTTCTTTTTTGGCATAGTTATGATCATAGGGTTAGTCTGGAGTCTCTGCTCCGGTCTATTTAAAAAAAAAAAATCTGAATGCTTGATAGACTTAAATACAGACATATTTCATTTGCAATATATATTTCTTTCTTTTGATGTTGATATATATATATGATATATATATATATATATATTATATATATATATATATATATATATATATATATATATATATATATATATATATTTATACGCAATGCTATACACACACATACACACACACATACTCACACGAACATACGTACAGGTATATGCATATGAAAATGTGTACAAATATTTACTGGTGTATTCTTTCTATTTATTTCCACATTTCTACTTTTAAAGAAGGAAAAGGCAATACTGCATATTTACATCATTACAAATATTTTATTGAAATAATTAAAAGGGTATCCATATATCATATAATATTTACACTTGCTTCATCAGCACAATATATTGGCCAAAGTGACTAGAAGCCAAGGAAGAAACAGAAGAGAAAGAGAAACAGAAGAAAAAAGTAACGAGAGAGAGAGAGAGTGAAAAAAGAGACAAGAGGAGACGGAGTAAATAGAAAG